CTGCGCTAAATACTTTCGGTTTGATCCTACAATAAGTCTGCCTAGTTTTGGGGTTAAAAGTTTCATAGTCGGCACATACTACGACTTGCTGCGTTTAAAAATCATGTGCTGTTTTATCTAACAATCATGATTTGCAAAATTTAATGTTATCCACAGAATAGAGTGAAGACCGTTGAACTTATTTTTCGGTCTGTTTAGCGCAAATTCAGCTTTTAGTTTTTTGCAATGAAATTAAGTCACCTGTTTCTTCATAGAAGGTATAGAAGTGGAGCTAACGCAAATCCCGCGAATCGCGGATTGCGGCAGGACAATGTTTACCAATGAATTTGCGAATGCATTTGATTATTTACTGAACAAACTGACCACTATTGAACTAGCGGACTCCTACACTGAGTTTAACAACAGAAGATGCAGTGTTGTCTTTTCCGAATCTGGACGCACAAGCGGATGTCGGATTCACATATCGAGTTCGCCAAACAAATTCCATATTCACTGCAATGCAACATTCCCAAGGGTTGCTCTAATTTTTTTCAACGATGTATGTTTTTGCTGTTTATTCGATAAATTTTATGGTGTTTCAGAAACTTAGAATCAAACACGTAATAATGTTCCCACAGCTTGTTCAGTTTTTATCATTTTATGCGACTTCCCAGTACATGCTAATCTAGTCTACGACGAAATTGAGGAATTAAATTTTGCGAAAACATACACCAAGCATTATGTGCAAAGTGTATTGCAAGAACTAACCTGCCATATGTTATAACGTCCTACTAGTCTAAAACCCTTGGAGCTCGTGCTATATTATTAAAATATACACTGCAGATTTATTGGTAGTTACACAGAATTAAAAATCCTTTTCTTGATCTCTTTCATATTGAAGAATATGCTTGACCAATAGGCGAACCATCATTGCAAAATGCCTGTTAGTTTTTTCAGCCATTTAAGCCCTTGTGTTTCAATTTCAGCCCCACAGTAATGCTTTGTTCCGGTCGGAAAATACGTCTGGCACGGTTGAGGAAATGATTATTTTTGTTCATACTAACGTCAGCGGCTACGCTGCATTTGAGTTCAGCGTTGAGGATCAGACGTTCGGCCATGATGTCCTTCGCATGGTCCATGTATTTCCGCGAATTTTTGAAATCACATATTCGGATATTTTGAAGCACAACTTCAATAATAGGAATCCCTGGGTATATTTGGCAATACATCGAGTTCATGTTCTTATGTTTCATCAGGAAGTCAGGCGGCAGCTGCCTTTATGTGCTTTTAATTAGATCCGTGTAAATAAATTTAGAATAAAATCGTCATATTAACGTATTCTTCTCCAGACAACTTCGAAAGGCATGTCGTGAGTTAATAACGTAAGATTGCTTTAAACAAGAGTAAGTGAAGGCAACTGATTTCTCCCACTTTTTATTTTTCCGTTTCACACTTTGCGGGCAAGAATAGGCTGCTTGGTACGACCTGCTCAACTTGCAGTTACTGCATTATTTTTACTTATATAAATGATTTCATTGCGTGTGCAATTGGGTTTATATTTGCAAGAGTGCCGAGAATTTCGAAGGAAAAATGCCATTCTAGCGCAACAAATCCTTTTTCGCATCGTGTGCGCCCTACCACAAACTTCCGTGTTAATCACGAGGTCACACTGCAGCAGCAGCAGCGGAGGGGTCTGCCATCAGTTTACAAAAGTTATTATCGGGCGTATGTGATGAACTTATGCAAGCTCTATGCCTACCTAGGTCAGCCGACAGTTAACCGCGTCCCAACTTTCTGTCATTTATATTCTTTCAAAAATAAAATGCCTGATTGATTTGCAGCCGTCCGACAAATGCTGTATTCTTTCATGAGATTGCCGACAATATAATGAGAAGCTTTCCGATTTTGTCGGATTTTTTTGCTAAAGTCAATCTATCACATAAGTAATTGCGGTAAGCGCATTTCCTCACGCTTCTGTGCTTGAAGAGTTGCCCCTTCTATAGAAATTACCGTTAAGTGTCCTTGAAGAATTAGTACAACCATTTTGCGAAGAAATATGCCTGGACATTAAGTGTGGATCAAGGTTAAAATAAGAGGTCTCGAGATCAATGTTACTGTGGAAAGACTTTGAAAAGGGAAAATTTATTTAATTGTACACATTAAGATATCTAATTTATTAAAAACGCGACGTTTGCGAAGTTTCAGCGTGGAACATCAAGGGCTTTCGAATGTCGTGTGGTCGACAAGATAAAGATTCCCAATCAAAAGTCAGGGAAGACGGTTTGAGTTGGACAACCTTTACTGCCTGAGAAAGTGCGTGCACAAGGGCTCCGTAGGCAAGCTGTTGTCTGCGTCCGCCCTCGAGGCGTTGTCTTAGCGCGTATGTGCGCCCTTCGTTGTCTCCACGTCGACAGCCAATCAGAGTGGGGACAGCGTTGATTGGCTTCGAGCACTCGCGCGTCCCAGCAGCGTCTTGACACGGAATGTGAGGCGGACAGGACGGCAGCGTGACAAAGGCGGAGGGTGAGGAGACGCGAACCGCCACAGTACCCCCCGGCTAGACCGAAGGCGGAGCGTAGCGATGCCGAAGGAACTGTTGATATCTAAAAAAACATGAGTGACCAAACGGTCAGGAAAGTGAACTTGGCGTCCGCTACGAGTGATAAATATAGGGGGCACAGTAGTAGAGTGAGTATGGCTCGCGGTTACAGTGTTGTTGGTTGATGAAGGATTAGTTGCAGTTGTGGGTTGCGGACATGGGGGAAAAGGAAGTATACGGGACGGAGGGATAGAGGGCAAGGGATGGGAAGGGCGAGGTAGTGGCCAGGGTGAATGAGGACGGGATAGGGAAGATGAAGGAACAGGGGTTAGGGGGTCAGCACATTTTTGTCCTTGTGACGGGTCCGGCGGCTTCTCTGCAACAGCAGCCTTGACCCGATCGACCCTGACCACGTCCGCCTTGTCACTGCGAAGAATCCGGAAGGTCTTGGCGTTGCGCGCTAGCACGCGGAACGGTCCTTCGTATGGTGATTCCAGCGGCTGGCGCACACGGTCACACCGAACAAACACATGAGTACACTTGTCAAAGTCTTTTTCGACATAAGACTCAGTCATTGGAGCTCGAGGTGGAACCGGGGAAAGCGAGCGCATAAATTGCCGCAAACGGTGCACAAGATTGCCAGGAGTCTCGTCAGCGCCACGAGAGGTTGGAGTGATCATCTCGCCTGGCAGTCGGAGGGTAGTGCCGAAAACCAATTCAGCTGTGTTACAGCCCAGATCCGACTTCAGAGCTGCGCGGATGCCGAGGAGTGCAAGGGGAGGGTTGTCCGACCAGTTTCCTGGGTCTTCTACGACACGCACGGCGGTCTTTAGCTGACTATGGAAACGTTGCACGAGAGATAACTCGGAAGGGGCCGTCGTAGGGTGGTTCCAGGGGCCGACGGACTCGATCACATCGGAGATAGACGTGAGAGCACGTTGCCAAGTCCTTCTCGAGATAAGACGGAGAGGCGGAGTTTGCGTGTTCCGATCACGTCGGGGTCAACAATTGTCGAATGTCGTGTGGTCGACAAGATAAAGATTCCCAATCAAAAGTCAGGGAAGGCGGTTTGAGTTGGACAACCTTTACTGCCTGAGAAAGTGCGTGCACAAGGGCTCCGTAGGCAAGCTGTTGTCTGCGTCCGCCCTCGAGGCGTTGTCTTAGCGCGTGTGTGCGCCCTTCGTTGTCTCCACGTCGCCAGCCAATCAGAGTGGGGACAGCGTTGATTGGCTTCGAGCGGTCGCGCGTCCCAGCAGCGTCTCGACACGGAGTGTGAGGCGGACAGGACGGCAGCGTGACAAAGGCGGAGGGTGAGGAGACGCGAACCGCCACAGGGCCTACCTCTGAACTTCGATTGAAATAGTCACATATTCATCACGCGTGCATTCTTCGGTAAGATCATGCCTACGTTGAATGCAAGGTATTTAATTTAGCGACTTTTTGCCTTACTTGAGTAACGTTTGCTTCTTAGTGTATCTGATGGCATGCTTATCCATAGTATTCTGCTGTTCATTTAGTTAGTTATCACTTAGTTTGAGATGAACTTACACAAATTCGTGTATTTCGAACCCGAGTATTATATTTTGACAAAACGTTAAATACAGGGTACGAAATTCAATTGTTAATGGCCTTGCCGATGGATTTCTAATGGATCTTCGAAAATTTAGTAAAACATGAAGGCGCCTGCAATAATGAGACGAGTTAAAGTAGTTCACATATTCTACACCTAGATCCCATCGAGACGGTAGGACTGTCGAAGAAGGGTTGTTGGTTATGCTACATTATTCTTTTTGTGCCCGGTCAAGTTTAAATATATTTCCAAATAAAGCATCCCTATCTTGAACATATTTCTAACGATGTCCTAGTCCTCGGTGTATAAAATGACTTCTCAGCAGATTTTACTAAATGAACATCTACTCAAAGTGAGTTTAAACATCATTTCATAGGGCTTATGACGCACATATGATTGGTTACGATCATGAGGCCGCTATTAGCGTATGGCATGTCGCACACTTTGAGAGCTGCCTACGTATTATATATATATATATATATATATATATGTAAGGTCAACGGGAGCCTGAAAACCACGGTCTACAGGAAGGCCACTAACACTCGCCACTATCTACGGCGGATGTTCACCTCCAACGGTTACCCCCGCAGCTTTATAGAACGCAGCAGACTGTCCAGACCAACCGTAAAGTCAACGGCAAATCAGCCGAAAGTCTGGCGAGCGCTGCCATATATTGCGAACGTTTCCGAGGCAGTTGCTCGTATCTTGCAACCATTGGGTATCAGCATCGCCCAGAAACCCGAAGCGACAATTAGGAGTTTTGTCAGGAGACCAAAAACGCCTCTGCCACGAGGCGAAACTGCCAACGTCGTCTACCGGATCCCGTGTAGTTCCTGCGAGGCAAACTACGGTGGAGAATCCGGGAAGAGATTGCAGACCCGCATGGACGAGCACGTAAGATCGGTACAAAGAATGGATCAGCTCTCGTTGGTGGCAGAACATTGCGCAGCTTTTGGCCACGCCTTCGCCTTCCAAGACGCCGAAGTCTTGGGCCAAGGGAGCGATCAAAAGGTCAGGGAGACGCTCGAAGCCTGGCACACCACAACTACCTCAATCAACCGATGCGTAACTCTGCCTGCTGCCTACCAAGCCCTACGGGTGAAGTTCAATAGGCAGGGCTACCAACGAGCCGTCAGGCCAGAGACGGCAGTACTCAAACCCGGACCAAGCGGGAACGCGGACGCGCATAGCCAGGCACCGGGAATGGACGAAACCGGGGAACAACCGGCGGCGAACGCAAACCCAGGAGACCGCCTTCTGGGTCCGAACGCAGACAGACGCCAGCAGTCGATGAGAACGCCCGAAAGTGACAGGACCCCGCAGCCCGACGTCAACAGTGGCCTGACAACCACCGTCAACACGGTTACGGGCAGGTGGGAATGGGACAGCGAGACGAGGCCCCACGACAGTGACATGACCCCCCAGCCCGACGTCAACAGTGGCATGAAAACCACCGTCCACGCGGTTACGGGCAGGTGCGAACGGGGCAGGAAGGCGAGATGCGTCGAGGACGGACAACGGACAATGCAAACAAGAGCAGCGGCCGCGGTCACCCTGGCGCCGTTCCCCTCCCCACACCCCACAAAGGATGAGGAGGAACCGATGCCGCCATGACAACCATCGCCATACCGTGTGATGCAGCGCGCTGAAAGTCAATGACACGCCAGCGCGAAGTAAAACCCATAAATACTGTGACGTGCAGTACGCAAGCTACCTCCGATGATGGAAGCTTGTCTGCTTTCGAAACGTCAGGCAAATAAACCCATGGTTCCTGTGATCACCTTATCTTCGGTTCGATGAAGTGCTTATGACCCATCTGGTAGGCCTCAGTGGTGGACCGACTGCGCCAGGTGCGTCTGTGCGCATGTTTGTGTTTCTGGTCGCAGCTGCTGGTGGTCAGGGTTATGATTGGCTGAATGAAGGCAGAATAAGCCCGAAACAGTGCTGTATCAATCTACCCGCATTCTCTGTCGTCCCTCCTCGCTGCTATTATGACTTGGCCGACTTCGGCCTGGTAATTGGTTGCCTGTTCGTGACCTTTGCCACACATACGGAGCTTGTTTGCTTTGTGAAGCCAATAGATCGGTGTGCGCCCATTCCTGATTTATATATATATGTATTGAAAACAGGAAGAGGTTCTTCGGTAAAATCGAGTTGTAACTGTGCATTTTCGAGCTGCTGACACCAACCTGTCGTCAGACGAAATGGAAACGGGGGAGAAATTAGGTTTGTCACACTGGACTAGTTAGCGCGACAGCACAGACAGACTATCGGCCTATGAGAGGGATGATTACAAAGTCATGGTAGTTCTCTGCGCGAGGGGGGAGGTGGAACAATTTTGGATGCCTGTGCTGGAAGGGTTGGGTGTAATGGTGGATCAATTGGACTCCGGGTGGCTAGATTGGCGGTCTTTGTTGTGGCATTAGGGTGGTGGGCAGTAAGTCGTGAGCGTAGGCCCTCGTAATTGGCGTCTAGGTCAACATGGCGGTTGAAACTACCAGCATCGAAGTAACAAGCCTCGAGAAATTCTCTCGCCCGTTTTGTGTTAGCCATGGCGACGACCTCAGTGCCATCCCAATTGAATCGGTGGTCGCACTCGAGTGCGTGAGCAAAGACGAGGGACCGAGGGTCTCGCCGACTGACAGCCAGTTTGTGTTCATTAATACGGGTGCCCAGGCTTCGACCTGTATGACCAACATACACGCAAGAGCAATTTGAGCATGGGATGCGACAAATTACGTCTGTTTGTTGCTCTTTGGGGAAGGAATCCTTGGTTCGAGATGGCGCTGCGCTTAGTGAGGATGCTGGTTTGTAGGCGATGCGCATACCAGAGCGATTTAACTGCCGGGCGTTTACTTCGGACGCTCCTTGCATATAAGGCAGGGAGAAGAATTGTCGAGACACAGTTTCCCCGTTGAGAGTGGGGCTTGCGGTTGTGTCTGGCGTCTGAGGCAGTTCCTTAGGAAACTTGTCGGAAATCCGTTGGATCGAATCAACCGATATAAATAGGGAATCTCCTTCTTAAGGAGATTGTCGCTGTTGCAATAACGATAGGCACGGTGGAACAGAGTTCGAACGCAGCTCCTTTTGTGGGCTGCGGGTGGTTGCCTCCATAATTGAGGATAATTTCGGAATTAGATCCTTTCCTGTGGACGCTCTTCGCGAGACTACCATCGCTCAGCCTTTGTATTCTCACATCAAGAAACGGCAGGTTGTCCCCTATTGCCTCTTCACGAGTAAACTCTATGGCCGGGAAGGCTTCATTCAGCCTCTGATGCAGCCGTTCAACTTCACAGTTCTTTATCCCAACATAGGTATCGTCTACATTTCGAAGCCACACTTGGAAAACCTCTTTTTCTAGTAGCTGCAATACAGGTTCTGCGAGCAGTCCAGATATTGACGAGCCCGTTGGCGTTCTCTTTACCTGTTGTTAGAACTTACTATCGAATTGACAGTAGTTTCTAAGGCAGAGTTTGAGCAGTTCTATAATATGCTGAGTTGGAATCTAAATAGGATTCTCCTGTAAGCGTTGAGCTACGCAGTCAATTGTCAAATCGTGTGGTATGGAAGAAAATAAGGCAACGACGTCAATGGACAGGAGTCATTCATCGGCACTTACTTCGAGGCCTTGGATCCTTTGGAGAAACGCGAGAGAATTGTTGATGCTGTAGTCAGATCCATGAGTTAACTGCTTCAGATGCGTGTACAACCACTTAGCTATATTGTAAGTAGGTGATCCGATAAGTGGTACAATAATCCTAGTGGGGCGTCCACTTTATGCACTTTTGGGAGAACATACGCGCGTGCGATATGGGGATCACTGAGGGTCATCAGCTTGGAATCATCTGGACTTAAAACTTTCAGATGAGTGAGCTCATTTACCTTTTTCTTGATGGCAGCGGCTTGCTTTTTCGTCGGGTCTTCGGTAAGAAGTGTTTAGGACGCTAAGTTCCGAAGATTCCATTCGCCTTGTTGACGTATTCAATTCTGTCCAGGACGACAGTAGCGCCACCCTTGTCAGCGGGAACAACAACAATATTGTGGTCCGATCTCTGTGATTGTAATCCTTGTGCATCATCGGCCGGTAGGGTTTGTTGGCGTCTTTTTTGCCGATGGATACCAGTTGTACAGCTGCGTATGTCTGCGCGTCTGTCTTCTGAACACGAGAATCGTCAAGCTTTCGAAAAGGATGCTCTCACTAGCCAAAATCAGCCTCATGTCCAAAGGAATAGGATTAAATCATACGGATGCCACACCTACGAACTTCCTAGCTGCCCTCGAGTCAGTTCTACTGGCATCAGCCCTTCCAGAATACAGGCGCGCAGACATACGCAGCTGTGCTACTGGTATCCTTCGGCAAAAATGACGCCAACAAACCCTACCGGCCGATGACGCACAAGGATTACAATCACTGAGATCGGTCTGTAGTCGTCGAACGCGGCAGACAGGCCGGACCGAGCCGACGTTTGGAAACAGAATGGCCTAAAATATGTCGGGCGCATCCATACATCGATGGCGTTTCTGAGGCGGTCTCCCGTCTCTTAAAACCGCTGGGGATCGGCATCGCCCACCGACCGGAGTCAACAATTCGACATCTGGTCATGAGACCTAAGGCCCCTTTGCCAGCAGGTGAAACCACGAACGTCATCTGCCGGATCCAGTGTAATTCATGTGAAGCCAACTACATTGGGGAGACGGACAAACGACTTTAGACCCGTGTTGGAGAACACATGAGGGCAGTAAGGCGAATGGACCCTTTGTCTCTGGTGGCCGAAAACTGCGCCGATTCCGGACACACATTCGCCTTTCAGCATGTCACAATTCTGGGCCGAGGAAGCTACCGCATAGCCAGGGAACCAATCGAGGCTTTGCACACAGGGAAAACCTCCATCAACCGTTGTGTGGCTTTTCCCGCTGCCTTTCAAGCTCTTCGAGCGCAGCTCAGCAAACAAATGAGCAGACGTGAACCCAGGCTAATTACGAATCCAGTTATGAGTGAGTCCATGGCGGATGCGCACTCAGCCACCCCTCAACCTGGTTCCGACGGAGGCGTAGTCGTCACCACAGCCCTTCCATCTACTAGTCCGGCGGACAAGAAAACGGACAGTCGTTGCGGCGTAAAAAAAATTGCCAGCCTTGGACGACAGTTAAGGTCAAGGAAGGTACGGGCGACGATCACCAACGTCTCAACGCCGGCTTCCGATGTAGATTGAGTACTTCCCTTCACTCTCCCTATCCCCGTACACGTCCGCCTGTGTGCATGCGCTGGTGACCACTTAAGCTGATCCACCGCAACCCCCCATTTAATCCGGCGAGAAGACGCTGTAGGACCCCCTCTACGCCCCTTCCTCCCTGCTGACCTGAATTCGTATGTATAAACAAAACCCGTCTTGGCATGACTGTCACCAAGCTATAAATAACGTGAGGGGCGGTAACACACTCACCTCCGACGACAGAAGAGTGTATGCATTTGAAACGTCAGGATAGTAACACTATGGTTTCCGAGATCACCATTTCTTCATAGACCTATGCTTGGAAACCAACTTCTCCTTCAACCAACAGTGCTATCAGCAACTGAAAGGCGCTCCTATGGGGTCCCCAATTTCTGGTTTTCTCGCCGAAGTCACAATGCAGAAACTGGAGACTACGGCTCTTCCGTCAATTAAACCTAAGTTGTGGCTGCGATATGTCGATGACACGTTTGTTATCGTTAAAAAGAACCAATTGGAAGCGCTCCACAACAATATAAACTCGACGATTCCGGGGATTACGTTCACACTCGAAAAGGAAGTCAACAGTAAACTGCCTTTCCTGGATGTTCTCGTACAACGAAAGGCTGACGGAACACTACGCACGTCCGTTTACCGTAAAGACACTTACGCGGAAATAATTCTACCTTACGAGAGCAATCAGCCAATATCTCACAAACGGGGTGCTGTCAAAAGTCTGCTTAATCGAGCAAAAACACATTGCTCTAATGAAGAAGGTTATCAAGACGAACTAAAATTCTTGTGTGAATTGTTTTCGCGGAATGGGTACCCTAGAGATTTTGTGCGCCGATGCATGAGGCAGAAAGAGTCGGAGAGAAAGGAGCCAGGTAGCCCAAATCAGACGGCCGAACCGAAAACTTGGCGAACACTTCCTTACATTAAAAATGTGTCCGAACTCGTTGAAAGACACTTAAGGAAGCACCAAATTCAGGTGGCGCACCGACCGACGACTACTCTGCGCACTCAGCTCGTGCACCCTAAAGATAAGGTTAACTATTTCGACAAAAAAGAAGTCGTTTACAAGATCCCTTGTGAAGCGTGTGATGCCGTCTATTGTGGCCAGACTGGAAAACGCGCCTCTACACGCATCCACGAACACCAGTCAGCAGTAAAGAGGCGAGACCATCTATCTCAAGTGGCCATGCACACCCTGGACACCGGACACACTTTCGCTTGGGAAAAAAACTCGCATTGTCGCTGTGTGCCCCTCAAAGAAAGGCCGAGAGTTCCTTGAGGCCATGCACTCAGACGATTCATGCATCAAAAGGCACATCGAGTTGGATGTCGCGTACAGAAATCTCAAGGAGAGATGGAAGAGGCGGGGACCAATCAGAACGGACTGAC